AATTTTAACTCTTAGCTGTACAAAAGGTTTAACCTCCCTGGAAGTCCCCCGGAGTCAATGGGACGGGGACGAGATTGGAATGTGGATCTGGTTCCTAAATTTCTTATGGCTGGGGGTAAGTAGCAGTTTATCTTCTCATAAACCTTTAAGGGCTAATAGATTAGCTTGGCTATAGTAATCCTCCTGTAGTCAGTTCAGGCAGCAGTTCATATGTAGATGAATTGGTTCTGGATAGATAGCTGTGAAAACACCCAAGAAATTAGACTCTTGAGGGTATCCTTGATTTAAAGACCCTCTTGGCAGTCCATATACAGCCAACTGAAAATTCTGCCTGCTGAATACTACCCACCATAGTCACAGGAATCAATCTTTTGAGATTTTTTTCTGTTGCTATTTAGCAGATGGTAAGAGCAACTGTTAAAATCTCATTGCGAGTGTGCCACGAATGTGTTACATTTAGGTTAATTATAAACCCATTTAGGTTGAAATCTGTCAAGTGTTTTTTTTCTTCTTACAAGTCCAGTATCTGTCTTATACACGGCTGGATTTCCCTCGTTGGTGCCTGTGGATGTGCGGTTTATGGCATCCAGAGTAACAGGCCTCTGTTGGCATCACCTTTCTGAACATTGGCTTGTCAGGGGTGTGGAAATTTTTGAAAAAACTACTTGTCCAAGGACTACAGCGAGGGCCCGATCTACTTGTCCCTCATGACAATCTACTTGTCCTGATACAAAAAAAATAATTTTACCCAAACCGTATTTAGCAGTGCCAAGAAGAGTTTCTCATTGGTCAGTGCCGTCAGGTGACTGCGCTGACCAACGAGTGCTTGCAATTTGCGAGGGAAATTCAGAATACATGGCACAATTACAGATGGTACACCCATATTGGCGGATGGGAAGGACCGTTCCCTGAAAGGTAAGTATAGCGGGAGGGGGCCAGATTTGAGCAGGTATTTCAATTTTTCCAAATTACTTGGGAAAGTGAATTTACCCTTTAGGGCTGGTGCAGACTTGGGCGATCGTGTGCGGTTGCATGCAGCAGTTGCCGCGTGGCCCCATTGATTTCAGTGGAGTTACATCCATGTGGCAATCACTGAAAAAAGGTACATGTACCTTTTTTTCGCAACACGCACCATGCAGTGTTTTCAACCGTGATTATGTCTGCTTGCACAGACGCGGAATTGTGACGTGAAACCGCGCAATCTGCCAGGCGTGACTGGCGTGCCATTAGACAATAATGGTATGTATGTAGTGGTATGTGATTCTGTGACTGCTAGGCCATCCACACAATTTTGTGCACAATTGCCGTGCGGTAACGGATCACCCACTCCAATCGCACACAATACCCCATGCATGCAGATGGTGGGTGCAGCGGGGTTTTTTTTTTTTTACTTTTTTTTATTTTTTACCTAATATTGGTTATTTTTAATTCTCATTTATTTTTATTTTTTTTACTTTATCAACTTTTTTTATTTTTTCCAGTTTTATGTATTTACATTTTTAATTGTCATTTATTTTTTTACTTTTTTTTCACTTAACTTTATTGCTATTACACAAGGGCTAACAAGCCCCTGCGTGAAAGCATTTGGAGGTGACAGGTTCTCTTTATTGACCCTGTCACCTCCAACACAGGAGTTCTAGCACAGTACTGTGCTCGTTCTCCTGTGACAGGAAGGCTGCATTCCTGTATCACTTCACACACGGAGTAGTGAGATTTCGGCTTGTTACAAGTGATTTTGGACGGCTGTACAGCCGTGCAAAACCATTTGTATGAAACGGCTCCCACAGTACATTTAGTCGTGCTGCTTGCCCGCAGCCGGGCTAAATGTAGAAAAAACTACTCGCCCGACGCCCAAAACTGCCTGTCCCGGGCGATAGGAATTCCACACCCCTGCTTGTTTTACTGGTCATGAAATGATTACAATTTTATAGCCATAATATTGTATTTATCTAATGAAGTGAGGAAAAATGTATGGCCAATAATTATATAGGGAAAAAGCTGCCTTTTTGCCTCTGCTGCATATAGGCGCATGCCTACTATGCTTAATGGTAAATCTGGCCTTGTAAATGTTATTTCAGCAGTTAAAGACCTAGAAACACTACATACCGTCTCTTTTTGGGATAAAAAATCACTTCACTTGAAATTGCACAATTATTAATGAACTATTCTATGCCCGAATACTTTTACTGTTCTACAGCAATGCTTTATTACCAGCACGAAATGTACAGATATCTGGGCAATGCTGTCCGTAATCAGCTTTTATTATTGTGCAGGTGTACATGTGCAGACTGAGTATCCTTTAGGGCCTGTTCACATGAGTTTCAGGTCCTGATCAGGTGCAGATCAGCAGACGCGGTGCTATGTGTTTTAGCTGCGTTTTTGATGCGTTCCAGTAAAAATATTTTTTTTTTTTGCTGGAGTTGGGCTGTCAGTATTTTAGGTGCAGTGCATTTTTGACGCGTTTTGCATTTCCGGACCGTACAAAATGTGACATGCAGTATTTTTCTGTCGTAACCTGAACGGACTGCGCACGTGAGAACTGTAGCCCATAAAACACATAGGGATGCATTTTTAGTGCAGGAGCGTACGGATCAGGTCAGCACAGAAAACCGACATCGTGTGAACAGGCATTTAGGTGCCTGACCTGATCCGTACGCTCCTGCACTAAAAATGCATCCCTATGTGTTTTATGGGCTACAGTTCTCACGAGCGCAGTCCGTTCAGGTTACGACAGAAAAAATACTGCATGTCACATTTTATCCGGTCAGGAAACGGACCGGAAACGCGTCAAAAACGCACTGCATTTAACATACTGACAGCCCCACTCCACCCAAAAAAAGTTTTTTTATTTTTTACCTGGAACGCGGCAAAAACTCACTGCATCAGTAGCACCGCGTCTGCAGATCCGCACCTTATCAGGACCTAATATGTGAACAGGCCCTCAGTCGTGATTCATTCAAGCTCAGCCAGTAGCTATGTCTGTGCTGCCTTCAAGAATTGTACAGCAGATTCCTCCATACTGAATGTGTAAGATTGCAGGGGGAATGCTCATTTTGCCTTCCTGCTCTATTTCTGTTTTCCAATTCCTACTTGTGTGTGGCCAGCTTCTGTCACAAGGTCTTTTAATTAACAGACCAGGATCTTATGACATTTTGACCTTCGTGTACTGGTGATGGACTAAAAAAAACAAGTAGATTTATACTACACATTCTACTATCTGGATTTACCCCATAGGGGTCGACCAATTATCGGACCTACCAATTATCGGACCTACCAATAATTGAGGCCAATATTCCCCAATTTTAAAATTAATTGGTATCTGTCATAAATTGACTGATATATTACCGATAAGCAGGCTGGCTATTGTCGCCCCCCACTGCCTGCTGTTTACTTTCAGTTGGCTGCAGAATCTTGCTGCTGACAGATGAACACATAGTCCGGTCACTGGGCTTTGTGTTCATCTGCCGACGCCAGATGTGAACAGAATATCGGCACATGATATCGGTCAGCCTGAAAGGTGGCCCGTAATCGATATCGGTCAAACCACTGGCAACAGTGAAATTTGATTAAAGACCTGTGTGTATTTTCTCCTGGAATACCTAGATGTTTGTATAAATATAAGGAAAAACCTCTGAATTATACAAGTATTTTGCTCAGTTTCATTTTGCTTCTGACCCATTTTACTAGTTTAGGTTTAACTTGTTTTTCTACCATGTGACACTATATCAGAGTTCATTTTAGCTTCCAGTTGTAGTAGAGTTCCCCTTAGATCAATAGTTTAAACCACTTTTGTTTATCCAAAACTAGAATGACATTGGCTGGAGTTTGGCTTTAGACATGTAACTTTTTATACTAATAGTGCCCTGTTGCCCTGTGTCTCAGGTCAGTTGGTAAAAATGCTGCTGTTTACTGAAGTTACCCGCTATCTGGATTTCAAAGTAATTGAAGGCAGCTTTGTCTACAAAGGAGGAAAGATCTACAAGGTTCCTTCAACAGAAGCAGAGGCTCTGGCATCCAGTGAGTACCAAGTCAGATTCTAGCAGTCACTAGACTGAGTGTTCAGAATAAAGGTATTCTATGGTGATTTCTAGTTACAATGGCAAAGTACTTGTTTGTATGTCTACTTACTGTTTTATTCTGCTATTCAAGGTTTGATGGGCTTGTTCGAGAAGCGCAGGTTTAAGAAATTCCTTGGCTTTGTTGCAAATTATGATGAAAATGATGCAAAAACAATGGAAGGAGTTGATCCTAAAAACACAACTATGCAAGAGGTTTACAAGAAGTTTGACTTGGGACAGGATGTCGTTGACTTCACAGGCCATGCTCTGGCTCTGTACAGGACTGATGAGTGAGTTTTCTGTTTTTTTATATATGACATGGTTCTAATAATGTATTGTAAGTAGTAATCTAGTATAGCATGTATTATTGACCCAAAGGGTGAGTCTATGTGAATCATAGGCATAGTTTTCTTGCCTAACCAAGACTTTAGTTAAGCTTTAAGGTTGTGATTTTTAGGTCTGTCCATAAAGGTACTTGGCTGTTATGTACACTTTCTGGACTAGACACGTTTTTTTTCCCAGGTAAGCCCTGAAGTGGTTAAATATCTTATCTTCCTGCAGCCTTTGTCCACATTTTCTGTAGCTCTTCAGCACCATTTTGAGTTTTCCATTGTAAAATACAATTTGTAGGAGTAATGTTTTTACTTCCCTGACAGAGCCTCATGTAGAAAAAAAAAATACCAACTTTTGTAAAGCGCCCAGTCTGATTCTGACCTGCCTTGGAAACTAAAGCCCAATTAAACTTTACATTTGCTAAATACATTCCAAGTGCGTTAAAAACAAAAGGTGTTCAATATCTTGCAGTTAATTTTCTTTCAAAAGCAGCCACAGCCTGTCCTCTGACAGCATGCAGAAAAGTGGGGCCCTTGCGCTCTCTGTGGGGAAGCAGTGGTCTCGTTGCAGAAGTCAAACCTACAGCTCTGTGATCTGTAAAGCTCCTGCAGTTCAACAGGGGGCGTATTGGACTACGGCAGACAGACCACAGCTTTACCACAGAGAGAAGCGTCCCATTTATCTGCATGCTGTCGGTGGACAGGCTTTTCTAATTAGGCTGTGGTTCAGTTTAGAGAAGAAAAACTGTACAACTTTATACACTTATAAAACTGGAGCAAATTTGCATTGCAGCCAATCGGCTTTTCTCTCTCATTTTCAAATCTTACCTGAGCAAACTGAAAAGAGATGCTGATTAGTTGCCATGGGCAACTGCTCCATGTTCTGTTGGCTCCAGTTTTCATAAATGACCCCCCTTATGTTTTAAAGCTTTGGGGATGTATTTAGCTGATTTAAACGAAGGGTTCAATTAAGCTTTAAATGTGATTAGTAATACAATGAGGAGACAGAAGTCTGACCGCAGTGGATTAGAGAGAACATGGATTAGGAGTCATTGTATGAACTTACTGACTGCTTCTACCTGTTCCCTGGATTTGCTCTTTAAAAATATGTATAGCCTAAATAGTTTTTTGGGGATAGATTATGGAAGGTTTAGAACTTTTTTTTTTTTTTTTTTGTGCCTGTCCCCACTATGTAGATTCACACACTCTTTATTATCTTGCTGACCAATGAAACTAAGTATTGGGAAATCCAAAATGTGTGCAGTTGTCACCAGAACAAGCGGTGAGGCTCAATCTTCCATTTGGGGCACGTGGTATGGAGAGAATAAGGGGAAGTCTCACTGTGTAGAAAAGGATTTGCTCACTTCCTGTTGCACCTACGGGAGGGAAATAAGGAATTGTTACCAACAAAACACAGTAGGGAACATACTGATGAGTTTTACCCTTCCACTTTTATATCTCTGTTGACATGATCCTGCCTTCCTCAATTCACATTTTAAGCACGCACGTTTCTTTATACTACCTCCCTTTTTTTTTTTCCCCAAAGAGTTTCCATGTAAGGCTAAAGCATGTTTTATGTATGTGTATGATTCACTTTCAACAAATTTTGTTTATGTACATGGGTTACTTTTCTTTTCGACTAGGTATCTGAATCAGCCCTGTCTTGAGACTTTAAACAGGATTAAGCTTTACAGTGAATCACTTGCACGATATGGCAAAAGCCCTTACCTTTATCCACTCTATGGCCTTGGAGAGCTGCCACAAGGTTTTGCAAGGTAAGGAAGTGATTACTTCTCTCTAGTTTACATATACTGCAGCTATAAAATGTTCTCTGTTAGGTTTTTTTTTTTCTTCTTTTATTAATTTTTTTTAAATACCCCCAAAATGTCTAAGCCCCACACCCACATGTACTCGCACACCAAAGTAAACAGGTTTGCACTTGCATGAAAACCACGATTTAGACAGCACTGCACAGGCAGCCCTAAGAGCAATAATTCTAGGATCCTTTTACACCGTATATGATAAAATCTTGACTTTTTGTGGTCTTCTTGCTTTGCAGATTAAGTGCCATTTATGGAGGAACTTACATGCTAAACAAGCCAATAGAAGAGTTGGTTATGGAAAATGGAAGGATTGTTGGTGTAAAATCAGAAGGGGAGGTAGGCTTTCCTTTTATCTATTTCAGCAGTCCTCTTTATTAATCAATATTATATGAAGGGCATTTGTTAGTATCGTTTTCTTCCTCGTTCATTGCCATTGAGAGACACAGGAAGTCTTTAACCTTGGATTATACTACCATTTACAGGAGGATTGGACACTGGCAAACAAACTAGGCCAGCCCAGAATAACCCCTCTCATTTAAAAGCATGGTTTATTCTAATTTTCGTAGTGTTACTATTCATGAATGGGGCAACATGTAAATGACACTGTGATCTATATGTTGTAGTTTAGAAATTATTATCCAGGATTTATATAGCGCCAACAGTTTGTGCAGCGCTTTACAATATAAAGCAGACATTACAATACAATTCAAGACAAAATGGCAAGGGCCCTGCCTCTGAGGGCTTCCAATCTAAAAGGGAGGGGCAAGGGATACATGAGGTAATTGTGTGGGGATGAATTGTTTGAGAACATGATGGTTCAGTGGTTAGGTTGAGGTGGGATAGCCTTCCCTGAAGGAATGAGTCTTAAGGGATCGCCTAAAGGCAGTGAGAGTGGGAGATAGATGTACAGGTTGGGGTAAAGGGTTCCAGAGGATGAGAGAGACTCTAGTGAAGTCCTGGAGGCGAGTATGGGAGGAGTGGACAAGGGAGCTGGAAAGCAGGAGATATAGCTGGGGACCGAGTTGTGGATGGCTTTGTAAGTGGTTAATATTTTGAATTTTATTTGCACAATCTCAAGGGAAAAGTTGGGGAAGGTGCACGGGCGGGAGGAAATATAATGAGCTCAGTTTTTGAAAGGTTGAGTTTTAGGAAGTGTTATGACATCCAAACGGATATGTCAGTTAGTAGATTAGTGACACACAAGGGGGTGAGTTGTGGTGTAGAAAGATAGATTTGAGTGTCATCGGGATAGAGATGGTATTGGAAGCCATGTGAGGTTATTAGTTGACCAAAGGAGGAGGTGTAGATGGAGAAGAGGAGGGGTCCAAGGACAGAGCCTTGGGGAACCCCTACAGGAAGAGGAGGGGAGGAGTTAGATCTGTAGCTGACACTAAAGGAGCGCTTAGGTAGGAGGAGAACCATGAGAGAGCAGAGTCTTGTAGGCCAAGCGAGTGGAGTTTTTTGAGGAAGAGCAGGTGGTCAACAGTGTCAAAAGCAGCAGAAAGGTCTAATAGCAAGAGTAAGGAATAGTGGCCATTGTTTTAACAGTTAGGTCATTTGTGAGGTTTTAGGAGGGCAGTTTCAGTGGAGTGTAGGGGCAAAAGCCGGACTGTAAGGGGTCCAGAAGGTTATCAGTGAGGTGGCGACTCGGACAGTTGTAGATAAGGCGTTCTAGTAGTTTGGAGATGAATGGGAGTAAGGAGATCGGTCTGAGATTATTGAGAAATTACTTTTCAACCAATACATTTGCTTATAAACTGTATAATATGCTCCAAAAACAGGCAATAATGTATAGTTACTATAGGTGTGCTGTTAGAGTTCCCTCTCTACACTTAGCATTCTGGGTGCTACCCCTTGTTCTGTCAGCTGTTCTGAGGCTTGCATAAATGATGGTAGTGCTGTGTGTGGGCAATGTTTTGTTGACGGTAGAGGAAAATCATTTTCTTGTGCACATTACCATAATCTACCACTGTGCACTATAAAGAAAACTCTTGTATATTCTGTCTTTCAGATTGCTAGATGCAAGCAGCTGATTTGTGACCCTAGTTATGTTCCGGACCGTGTCACTAAAGTAGGGAAAGTTGTACGTGTTATCTGTATTCTAAGCCACCCAATTAAGAACACAAATGATGCAAACTCCTGCCAGATCATCATTCCTCAAAACCAGGTCAACAGGAAGTCTGGTAGGTTTTTTCTCTTGTATTTTTCACCTGTGCACATGTGACTTGTAGGCGTTTCCCGGTTAGATTTGTTTGTTCTTTTCTTTGCTCTCTATTCTCTTCTACAATTGACAGTATTTAGCTATAGACAACACTCCTTTTTCAAAAATAAAACTTAAGCAGTCTCACTGGAATAGATGAGAAGCAATGGTGCCAAAGCTGAGTTTTAGCCAATCCCTTCTGTTTTGCAACTCAGATTGCAAAACTAGTTTGCATTTTAGAGACTAGAAAGTTTGCAAAGGTTCCCATCCAAAGCTTGGGAACTATAGAATATAAAGATAGCACTTTGGATTTTGTACATCCTGATAGTTGTCCAAATCTTTATCAAAATTCTATTAATATATGTTTAAGAGCTGGCCTGTATATGTTATCCATGTTCATTCTCTTCCCTACATCCCCCACTTGCTGTTATCTCCGCCTCAGACTATTTTGGTCTCAAATGTTCTGTATTTATATAGGCATCATACCCTATGTTTTATCTTCTAGATATCTATGTGTGTATGATTTCATATGCACACAATGTGGCTGCACAAGGAAAATATATTGCTATAGTAAGCACTACTGTAGAAACCAGTGATCCAGAGAAGGAAATTAGGCCTGCACTTGAACTGCTGGAGCCCATTGAGCAGAAGTAAGTGACTGTTGTTGATTAGTTCTTCGCTGTCAGATTTAGTGCTAGTTGTGGAAAGGTTTAATGGGGTGTTGACATGCCTTGTTATGCTGCATCCTAAACATAGGAGAGCATTGTGCGGGAACACCTGGGTGTATTTCAGCGCTGAAAAAGGCTCAGCAAGTGAAATCCCATAATTTCCTATGGGCATGGTTCCCACCTGGGCGTAGGTGAAACACGCCCTACGCCCAAACAAGTACAGTAGCTTCTTTTGGGGCCTTTATCCGCGCGTATCCATTGGTATTCCCGAGTGTGGCTTGGGGTTAACAAAGCAGTAACCCCGAGCCACACTCGGGAATATAGTGCAAGTCTTACCTTGTCCGCAATCCCCGCTGTGTCCTCCGGCCGCTGCCGTCTTCCTGGTTCCGTCCCTTGCTAGCGTCTGTGTCGCAGGGGGCGGAACCGGCGGGAAGTTTGAAAGTTTTTTAAAAAAAAAACCTGAAAAAAGATAGAGAAAATAAAGTAAAAAAAATCATACCGGCAGGGAGGTATAAAAATGAGTATCGAACGCACGTTTCACTGAACAAAAAATGTGCAAAAAACGCACCTATGGTAACACCCAGGTGTGAACCCAGCAGACCAGGATGCTTGTGATCGTGTCCAGGTGCCACGTGGCTCTATAGAAATGGGATTACATCTGCGTGGCAATCGCTGAATTAAGGTACATACACCTTTTTTTTGCAATGCACGGCTTTTTTAGCCACAATCGTGTTCGATTGCACAGGCGGAATCGCAGCAGGAAACCGCACAATCCGCCCTGCGCGACTGGGATGCCAGTAGAAAAGAATGGCGCGATCAGCGGTGGTGTGCGACTCGGTGACCGTACGGCAATCCGCGTGGTTTTGTGCAACATTGCCCCGTGGTCACGGATCGTGCAAGTTTGAACCTGGCCTCATACTGTGCAACTGTTCTGCGCTGTTGGATTACTGAAATGTTTAAATCTTTCGTATACAGGAATTTATATTTTTCCCAGGTTGTTTGCATTCAATCCAGTCTTTACCACAAGTCTAAAATAGAAATAAAATGACAGTGATTCCATATGTTTGTGTAGTAACCTTAGAAAAGTAATGATCACATTCATGCCATGCTAACATCCTGCCCAGGTGGTACCAACTCCTAGTCACTGATGATCACCCATAGCACCCACACAGATCTTTTAGAATACTTGTAGTCATTGTGCTGTAAGCACACATGTTTCGGTGTTATGTGTTATTCAAGAAGATTCTTCTTATGCATAATCTTTTCTTTCTGCCTTCTAGATTTGTTAGCATTTGTGACATGTATGCCCCTACCGACGTGGGAACAGACAGTCAGGTGAGAATTCATTTTTTGTTTTCTTTATTCTTGTTTTCTATGTGAAATGTTATGGGACCATCTTTAAGATGTGCAGGGTATCGAACACTTGGTCTAATTGTCCTTTATAAAGTACCAACATATTCAAGCTGTGTTTTTAATCTGCAGAATTGTGGAATTTGGCTTGCCTGCCGCTACGCAAGCAAATAGAATTCTACAATTTACATTAGGGCTGCAACTAAGTATTTTCATTAGGGATGCACCGATACCACTTTTTTAAGGCCGAGTACGAGTACCGATACTTTTTTCAAGTACTCGCCGATACCAATTACCGATACTTTTTCTTAAAGGGACAGGTCAAATTTTTTCTAAAGCAATACAAAATCATGATTTTAGGTCAGTTTCTTAATATTATGAAGAACATGAACACTCTGTAGTGTGGCACCGCTATATCCAATTCTGCATACCTGGCTTTAGATTATAAGAACTTTATAATATAAAGCCAGGTATGCAGAATTGGATACAGCTGTGCCACACTATACAATAGTGTGAACAACCCCCCGCTGCTTGAACTAGACTCAAGAAAAAGAAGTGAGATGATCTGAGGGGATCAGCTCAAAGTACAGCTAGTAAGGAGGGTCGGAGAGTCAAAATATGATACAAAATATTATACATTTATTATTTAAAATCTCAATGGACATACTAAATGCACCAGTTAACACCAACACCAGTTCAACATCTAAAATTGGTTATTCCAACAACCCATTCACTCATAAAACACAGAAATGCACTCTGAGGATGAGCTGATCAGCATAATAAATGGTACCGGATTAAACTCAAAAATGTTTGAGGAATCTTGTATCGGTGCTAATCCGGTACCATTTATTAAGCTGATCAGCTCATCCTCACAGTGCATTTCTGTGTTTTATGAGTGAATGGGTTGTTGGAATAACCAATTTTAGATGTTGAACTGGTGTTGGTGTTAACTGGTGCATTTAGTATGTCCAATGTATTTGTACTCATGCAAATACTCGGTATCGCGGCCGATACCGATGCTTGTATCGGTGCATCCCTAATTTTCATAATTCATTAGTTGGCTTGTTTTTTGTTTTGCTTTCCTCGATCGGGTAAGGTGAAAAAATAAAGAACACAAATGGAGTTTTTCAAACAGTTTACTTCAGAATAAAACTGCATGCACGTTTTTTGCTAGCACACCACACTGCGGGCGGGAGGTGCGTTTGGTGTGCCATTGAAATAAATCGTGCAGCAGAATTTGTTAGGCCGAAACAAAAAATGACTTTCTTTTTTTTTTCCCCCACCTTTTTTTTAAATTATTTATTTTTTAAATAATTTGTAAGTAATGTATTAGGCATTTTTAATTACTTTAATGAATTTGGAAGTTGAATTGAAACTCCAAGCCAATATAATAACCAACCTTTTATTTAAAATAACACACCAGAATTTAAGTGTGTGTGTGTGTGTGTGTGTGTGTGTGTGTGTATATATGTGTGTGTGTGTGTGTATATATGTGTGTGTGTGTGTGTGTATATATGTGTGTGTGTGTGTATATATGTGTGTGTGTGTGTATATATGTGTGTGTGTGTGTGTGTGTGTGTGTGTATATGTGTGAATCCTAATCATTTTATATGGATACTCGACCTCAGAGCAGCCTGTCAGGATTTTCAGCAGATAGTGGTCATGTAGTGGTGTTTGTGGTGACTAGGGATATACTGTTACTCGGTATCAGCACCCATATCGATTCTAGTATTTGGGCTGAGTGGTCGGGAAGCTGGCCAATCGGTGAGCCGGGCGCTGTGTAATGATGCAGCGCCCGGCATTCTGATTGGCCGGGAAGCTGGCTTCATGCTCCCTTGTCATCTCATGACGAGGGAGCATGGAGCCAGCCTCCTGGCCAATCAGAAAGCAGGGCGCCACGTCATTACAGGGCACCTGGCTTCCTGATTGGCCAGCCGGCTCCGGCTGGGTACCAGAGGAAGGCCGCGTTCTCGCTGGAGAGGCCCCGGGAGTGACAGGCTGGACATACCATGGTAAGAGGGGACTTTCTTGTTAATCGGGAAGCCGGGTGGCTAGTCTTTACACGCCACCTGGCTTCCTGAATGGGACTTCCGTTGCTCGGTAATTGGTATCGGTGAGTACCGAAAAAAAAAATATCCCTAGTGGTGACAGTGGACGTAATCATCAAAAGCATCTCAAGCAAGGACTGCTCTAGTCTATAGAAGCCAAACAGATTTGAACTTCCAAGTGTTTTTAAAGTATTTTGATATGGAGATGGATTACTCCCTGTTAGTGTTTAGTGCTGTGTCCCTGCTAGGAAGATTCCCCTTATTTCCTGTTGTATTTTTTGGGCAGGAAGCGAGGGGTCCTCAGTGGCTACACAGTCGGCAGTAAAACATGGCAGATGTTTCTGATGCACTATTGTCCTTTCCACAGATCTTTATTTCACGCTGTTACGATGCCACCACCCACTTTGAAACCACCTGCAATGATATCAAGGACATCTATAAGAGAATGATGGGCTGTGAATTTGACTTTGAAGAGATGAAACGCAAGAAAGAGGACATCTTTGGTGAAAACTAGGCATGCGATGCCTAAGCCTAGGAGAATTTCTAAATCCGCTACAAACGTATTTCTGGGAATTAGGAACACTGTATGAAACTCAATATTGTAAGGCCTGCTTTTTTGTAAAAAGTTCTGGAAATCCAAGAATACTGCTCTGGTAATTGCTCTCTGCCCTTTCCTGTTTTATTTTCTGATGAAGCTGCTGCCGCTGTCTGGCCTAGTCATAAATAATGTCATAATTACTACAGAAGGCACATTTCTTTCTTTCCCCCGTTTAATAGAACACGTACATCCTGCAGTGAAGGATCTGCCTTCAGTATTGACTTTTTATCTGTATTTTAATTTAGTGTCATCACTGGTACACACGTATACTAAAGATTTTTTTTTTTTATATATACATATATAAAGCTATCGGGAAGAAACTTGGCAGATCGCTCTATTTTTGTGCTGCAAAACACTTAAGTATTTGGGCAGCTCTCCTGTCCCCCCCCAGCCCCCAAACTACATTACTACATTAGCTCATGGTCGGGCTTATTATGTGACACGGAGCACCAGGCGTGCACAGTTGTTAACACCAGCTGGGAAAAGATTGCTTCCTTTTTATTGTAATGAAGTACCAAGCCAATAGTATTCTGCAGGCCAAGCGTGCCTGTTTCTGTATTCCCTCTCAGCTTCCAGCAGGATCAAACAGAAATGCAGTATTGATTTGACAGTCCTACCATCACTTGTTGCTTAATAGGGTTTAAGATGATTTCTGTACTGCAAAGTAAAGCCAAATTGTGGAAACCAGCACTGTGTTTAGCGACTTTGTGTTTTTTATATTTGCATTCACACACAGTAGAGATGTTCTCCATTACAAAGCCAATGGAGTTCACGGTTCCATCATGCAGCATGGAACTTGGGCCAGCTGCACTCCTTCAATCCAGTTCAGTATTTATTTATTTTTTGCAAACAATGTGATTTTTTAAAGAGATTATATATATATATATATATGTATATATACACTATTGACCCCTGCAATGCATTCACTAATGTTGTAAATTATACTCCTGACTACAATACATTCCTGATCTCTGTACCATATACACTCTGTTATCCATTATACTCCTGACCCCTGCACTGTATTCTTTACATTGTAACTGTATACCCTATGCTGTACATTATACCCCTGCACTGTATACACTACGGTGTACATTATACTTCCGACACCTGCACTGTATACTCTGTTTTATGTTACACTCCTGACACCGGATACTACATTCACTATGTTGTACATTGCACTCCTGTCCCCTGCACACTATGATATACATATACTGCTGACCCCATATATATATATATATTAAAAAAAAAATTTGTTTTGCAAACAATTTGATGTTTTAAAGAAAACGTGCAACAAAACGGCCCAAAGTAGTACCTGTACCTTTTCAGGCGTGGGCCGTTTTTTGTAGCGCGTTAGGGACGGGCGGAAATACGCCAAGGTGGGAACGAGACCATTGAATACAATGGGATTTATATTTTTGAGCGTTTTGTAGAGCGTTCGTCGAGCGTAGAACGCGCTACAAAACGTTCAGGTGTGAACGAGGGCTAAAACTCCTTTTCTGGTCTGCTTTTGTAGGTTAGAGATAATAGGTGTTATGGTAATTCTCGTTTCTCCCTATTGGATCAGGTGCATGTGGTACACTGACTGTGGCCTCTACCAGATCATCACAATCTTCTATTTCAAGGACCAATTTGCTATACTGCTTCATGTTCGCTGGCTTGAACAGCATGGCTATTGAGGTTCTGAGAGACAGGAGTAGAATGTGTGATTCATATGATCCTCAAAGCTAGGAAGGGTTCTTCCTGCAAGGATTTGTCATCAGACATTTGAAGCCATACTTTACTTGGTGTGAGTGTTGGGGCTTCTACCCTAGGTGTTTCTATGTTGGAAACGCTCTTCACCTCTCACTCTTTAAGACCTTTTATACAGGGAGTGTGTCATGTTGCTTCCTCTGTCCGTTCTGCTGTGCCTCCTTCAAATCTGGTACTCTCTGGGCTTCGGAAACTGCTGTTTGAATGGATTGCAAATGTTTTTCTTTCTACTCTCGCTAGATTTTTCTCGTAGCTCTCACCTCTGCCAGGTGCGTGTCTGTCTTGACTGCCTCATCTGCCAGGGAACCCCTTTTTCTTTTGCATGAGTTGGTGTTGAAGGCCAGGATTTTGTGCTTGCCAAAGTAGGTTTCCGCCTTTTAACCTAACCAGGACACTGTACTTCCATATCTTTGGTTCCAGTTCACCAAAAACAAAATTCCAATGTCTGGATGTGGTTCAGGCTCTAAATATCGCAATCACTGATTGTAAAAAGTGTTATGCCTCACACAATTGTGCAAAAAAGTCTTGAAGTGTGGCTATCTTGTACAGCAACCACAGTGCAGTAGTGCTCCAAAATCCACTCTTAGCCTCAGTGGACTCGCTCTGCATATACAGTATAAATGGCAATGTGAGCAACACTGTATCACACACAGAGAGCGAGCGCAACACAACCCATTTCTGGTTTCCAACATGATGATGTTATGCCACTTGACTCTGCGGATTTAGTACTGGATTCAGTAGTGTCTCTAAAGAGAACTAGTCATGCCAAGAAACGAAATAAACAGGCTTGCTAGCGAAAGCATATTTGCCTTGCCTTTCTGAGAATTACTATAAATCAGACACTTCAGTTTGAATACAAGAGGTCACCTACATTCTCTTACGGCATTGTCATCTACTTGACCTCTTGTGTGTGTATAAATATCAGACAACAGGCACTGATAGCTGAGCTCTCTGTTAAGAGAACTGAAGTATAGCATATAAAAGCCAGGCAACTAGAATTTTCAGGACGAGGGGCAGGCGCCATGTTTGTTATGATGGATTTCCTCACTCACCTTGAAGTGCACGTTGGGGTCTGATACTCTGAAGACACCCACAGGGCCCCTGCCCTAAACCTGGAGTGCTCACACCATATGGCAAAATGCAGACAAGTTTCCTCCCTCTCAAGATTGACCAACAAGGCTACCATCACAGTACTGACCAATGCTACGGTACATTAGACAAAAAGGGGGTGAGCCAGATGTACTTACTAAGAAGCCGGTTGGTATTTTACATTATAGAGCACCCTGTTGAGGTGCATCGAAATTAGTTTCCCTTAAAGGAGGTGATTTAATGCACAAGTCCAAAAGCAC